CTGCTCGTTTCTTAATTTCCTGTAGAAATTCTTTCCGAGAAACTTCAGCAATACAAGTCTTTTTTTAATTAAAACTATTTTATTCTTTCTCGACACAACTTTGCAATACACAGAATTTCCACAGTCTTTTTAACTTAACCACTTTTATAAACACAGGCTATAATTCACAGCGATTCACACACTTTACTTATGCCTACTGTTCGCTTGACTCAATTATCTCCCTCTTCAATCTATCTGCATATGCCCTTATATACTAAAAAACGAGGGCGTCTAGCAAATACTTGGATATTCGTGAGATTCCCCGATAAGTCACGATCCTTCGAGAAACCCCAGCGTGCATGCTCCCAGCGTCGCGTGACTTCCGCTGTCGTAGCAATATTATTTGACAATTGGCGAGCCAGCCAGCCAGGATTATACAGTGGTAAACGGCGATAGAAGAAAACACGAACGACAGCAGAAATAAGTTGGCCTACCTATATACGCACAACTGAAGTAGTAACTAAAATAGTGTAGAGATTAAAATTACGCTATATAACCATGTCAACAGATTTTGATAAATGGGTAGAAAGAGGATCTCAACTTGAGTTAAAAGATAGTGAACTACGAGAGTTTGTTAAACAACAACAAGAACTGGAAAGAGATGAATGGCAACAGAAGAGACAAATTGAGAAAGAGAGAGAAAGACTGAAAGAAGAAAATAAGAGAAAGGAGAAACTAGAAATAGAGAGAATGACTGGGCAGTCTGTCTTAGCCCACTTCTCACAGGAAAAGGCCTACAAGTGTATTCAGGCATGACGTCAGAAGATGCGATGGATTATGATAAATTTAAAGTAGCTTTACTGAAACGATATGAACTTGCTGAAGAAGGTTTTCGTCGTAAGTTCAGAGGAGTCAAACCCGACACTGAAGAAACTGTATTTCAATTTGTGGCACGTTTGCGGCGAAATTTCATCAGATGGACTGACATGGCCATGTGTGAAAATAGTTTTGAGGGACTGGCAAACCTATTTGTACGAGAACAGTTCATGACCACGTTTTCAATTGACATGTCACTGTTCCTAAAGGAGAGAACACCAAAAGATGTAGACAAGATGATCAAGCTGGTGGAACAGTATATGGAAGCCCATGGAGGTAGTATAACTGGCAAGTCCAAGAATGTCCAGTTAAATTTGAAACCAGTAATGGCTGACCAGAAGCAGGAGTTTACCAAATGTAACAGGAGGTTAATAGACAGAAGGGAGAAGAGGTGTTATGTTTATTATAAAATGGGGCACATTGCAAAAGAGTGCTAGTCCATTACCAGCAAACAACAGCAGACATCTCAACATAAAGCAGCTGGAGTCATTTACAAAGACAGTGCTGGTAAGAAACAAGAAGAGAGTGACTGGCACTATGGATGCTGTAGCCAGAAGAAAGAGAATCAAGACTACTTGTCAAGTTCAATACAAGAAAACATGATTGATCAGTACACGACTAATGGTCGGCTCAAATTAGTAAACGGATCAACAGTGCCAATAATAATGGAAGCATGTGAAAAATATAAAGAGGTGGCAACAAATAATAGTTTGCCAATATGTGAAGGCTATGTTGGGGTCCAGAAAGTGAAGGTTGTACGAGACACTGGGTGCAGTAGTGCAGCAGTGAGAACTAGTCTAGTATCCGATGATCAGATGACAGGCAAGGTACGCCTGTGTGTGCTAATTGATGGGACAGTGAGAAAATTTTCCATAGCAAAAATAAAGGTGGGTACTCCATATTATGTAAGAGACCTTGAGGCCGTTTGTATCAAGGAACCAATACACGACAGGTGATAAGAAACATACCAGGTAGTAGAAACTTTGAGGAACTAGACAGAAAGAAGACTGATGAAGCATTTGCTGTCACCACAAGAGCTCAAGAAAAGAAGAGCAAACAAGAGATCCAGCCCATGCAAGTGTCAAAAGACTATATCCCGAATTTAGATTTGCAGGAACTGGAGGAAGCACAGAAGAAAGACCCTTCATTGCAGAAACTTTGGGACAATGCCCGGAAGAAGGTCGAGCACAAAACAAAGGGGAAAGATACATATATAAATAGAGGACCGGAAGGGATTTCTATACCGAATCAATCAAAGCAGTTATTCTGGGGAAGTTAAGCAGATCACAGTACCAACAGAATACCGGACTCAAGTGATGAAGTTGGCTCATGAATCAATTGTGGGAGGACACCTAAGAACAAAGAAAATGGCAGACAGAATCACCAGTAACTTCCATTGGCCGGGAGTCATCGGAGATGTTAGTAGATTCTGCAGGTCATGTGACATCTGGTAAAGAACAATATCTAGAGGGAAGGTAGCCTTGTAAACAGGATGACATACGCAACTTTGCTACTTGAACTACTACTTGTAAACAGGATGACATACGCAATTTTGCGACTTGGACTTACTACTTGTATACAGGATGACATACGCAACTTTGCGACTTGGACTTACTACTTGTAAACAGGATGACGCGCGTAGCTTTACGACTTGTACTACTACTACTTGTAAACAGGATGATACGCGTAGCTTTACGACTTGGACTTTTATTTAAATGTAAATAATATTATCCGTGTGATTTAGTTCAATCCTCTCCATTCGTCTATAGAACAAATTTAGAAGTGTATAGACTGTTATCCATTCAACATCATAATTAAGTATAATCATGGTTCGCCATTTTAGAAAAGGTATTCACAACATAAAAAGACAGTACAGCATAATTAATTATAATCTTGGTTCACCAGTTTAGAAAAGGTAATCACAACATAATCAGATATGTTTCTTCTCTATTCTTCCTTCACAATATTTTTATAGACTTGTTTCTGGCTTTACATAATAAGATAGGTTTTTTCTTTATTCTTTTTAAAATATAGATTTATTCTTCCATTTCCTTCATTTTGTTTGATAGATGTTTCTCTGGCTTTACATAATAAGATAGGTTTCTTCTGTATTCTTCCATTTCCTTCACATTGTTTGATAGATGTTTCTCTGGCTTTACATAATAGATAGGTTTCTTCTGTATTCTTCCATTTCCTTCATTTTGTTTGATAGACGTTTCTCTGGCTTTACATAATAGATAGGTTTCTTCTTTATTCTTCCATTTCCTTCATTATGTTTGATAAATGTTTCTCTGGCTTTTAGATGTGCATTTATAAGGAAATTTGCAGAATTTAATTATTTCAGAATAGCACAAGTGAACTGAATTTCTTCTTCTCATGTTAGTGAATTTTATATGTTTTTACAAATATAGAGGTTATAACCACTTTGTGGTGGAATGAGAAAAACAAAAAACTGAAGTAGATTAGAGAGTTCGTAAGTTTTCGGTAGATAGAAAGAACAAGTCTTGATTCAATCCCAGTTATAAGTATTATTCAAGAAAAATAGTTTTTCATTCCTATCTAACTTTGAATTTAATAGTTTTCAAAACAGTTTTGTTATTGAAAATTATCTCTCACACACGATTTAATCGGTTTTACAGAGTGAAACGTTTGTTTGTTTTGTTCACAACGTTTCACCAGTTGAGATACAAGAACTGAGGCTAACAGAAATTAATTTAAAATAAAGGAAGCACGTGAGTATCAACAACAATATTAATCTACAAAGCATATGATTTAGCAATTGAAAACTTAATAAAATATTTGTCAAATATATATAGATAAAATAATATGTTGTATGTCCATGTAACTACTTCGCAGGGTGTGAATGGATCTTCACCAAAATTGGTATGGAAGTTCAGTAGGTCCATGCGGGAGTACATACAAATTTTCAGTTTTGCACCATTACCTCACCTCTTCTGGACGTATCTTCACGAAATTTGGTATGACGGTTCATTGTGTCCATAGGAAGATACATACACATTTTCAGTTTTGTGGGTTTTTTTTATGGGTGTTTTTTACCACTACTTCACTCCCTGTAGATGGATCTTCACCATATTTGGTATGGAGGTTTATTGGGTCCATGGGAAGATACATACAAAATTGCGTTTTCACATTTTTGTTTTGCAGTTTATATGGGAGTTTTGCATTTTTTTTTCAATTACGTATAAGAGAAGCAACTTTTCCTATCCTAAGATAACCTTTCATTAATCATGAGTTTACATAACTTCCGTCCAGGAGACGAGTACACCCTCTAGTATATAAAAAAAAGCTTTTACAGCTGAGCCTAAGTATTGAAATTTGTTCTATGTACAAGACCGAAAGAGAGTTTGTTTGTTTGTTTTTAATTATGCACAAAGCTACACAAGGGCTATCTGTGCTCTGCCCACCACGGGTAACGAAAGCCGGTTTCTAGCGTTGTAAGTCCGCAGACATACCGCTGTACCACTGGGGGGCCCGAAAGAGAAAGCGATTAAAATAGATACATAAAGGAATATTTTTGTATTTGTTAAGAATAAGTTGTAGTTTTTATAACCAGGGCTTTTTTTATTTTTCGTCTATTAATGTTGTATTCTCTGCTAAAGATTTTAACCTGAAAAGAATCAAAGAACGATTATTCCTAGATATATGTTGAAAAACATGAGATGGAGGTTATAAATGTTCCTGCAAAAGAGTTGTTTGTTTGACACACCAATATAACAACCTTAGTAATTTGTATATTTTATTGCATACATTTTTGAGCAGCAGTTGACTTTGTTTGTTTGTTTTCTCAGGTAGAAATGTAAATTGTATTTTAATATCAATTTTATACTCTCTTACTATTTTTAACCAGATTTTTGATAGCATTAGAGAGACTTGTGATGAACAGTAAAACACAAGAAACGGATATCCGCGGAATATTTTGTCAATTTGTGGCTTATTTTCAATGGAAACAACTTCTTGATTAACAACAGTGAGAAGAAAATTGTTTTGTACACGATATTAAAATCTAAATTTGTCGTTTTCTTTCGTGAAGCAATCAAGGTTGGGAACTATGATCTTATTTGTACGAATAATAGTTTCTAATATACCTAACTTTTGGCATTGGTCTTTCAAAGTATATAAAGTTCGGTGTTCTTATGAAATACGGAGGTTTGGAAGCCCCGTGTTTGTCTTTTTATCAAGAATATTTAGAGCTGACAATTTATTATCAGCTTCTTTTTCCATCGTGAATTTTATGTTAAAGAACTAAGTTATTAACAATTCCAAGTTATCGAATGCTAAATAGAAGTCATCAAAAAATCGAAACCAAATAAATTGGTTTGTAAAGCAAACTTGAAATAGCAATATCTTCAATTTTTATCATGAATAGATTGGCAAGTACCGGGTCTAAGGGATTTCCCATACTTAGGCCTAATTTACACATTCAGACAAACAGGTCTCTTATGGTGTTGATGTTTAGGCGAAAACGAGGATTAGAATAGTTTTAGTATAAACAGAGCAACATTTGACGATGACATGAGTGAATAAATGTTTTACATCAAATGTGACTAACTGAATAAAAATGACTGAATTCTCGGAGTTTTTGGATAAATCTTTCAGAATTTTGTACGAAGGAGAAAGCACGAGAAACATAATCAGAAAGCACCCGAGCTTGTAGTTAGTAAGCTTTGTATGCCGAAACAATAGGGCATACGGGAAAACTTAGTTTATGAATTTTTTGAGGGCATAAATTTGAAAGTACAGGAATCTGAGGAACAAGGACATTGCCATAGATCAATACAAAGTTGAGAAGTTTTTGTAATTGTAAAAGAAACTGCTTTAATTTCTTCCCTCTGGAAGGAGTTAAGTTAGTTTCCTTTTTTTTGAAAATGAGAAGAGGAATGCGTACATCTTTTGCTAGTATATTATTCAATCCATGATAAGAACAGCGTTACCTTTGTCAAATTTCAATAAAAGTATACTTTCACCATTATTTAAGAGTTTTAGTGCTTTATGCTCTTCTGGTATAAATTTTTATTTTAGCACTCTAGGTTTGTCGATAAGATTCGAAATTCGTGAACGAAAAGCATGAAGAATAGGTACAATTTGACTGTTTCGTGGAATTTGAGCAGAAGAAAGAATAGGTAGCTGTTTCGGGGGTTAGTACTTTGGTTATTTAACGAAAGATCTTGATTATTTGTACTTTCGTGAATGATGTCAGAAGAATTTGTAACATGAGTTTTTGAGTTGAAAGCGACATGAGAAGAAGTGGGTTGAGTTGATGAATTAAAACGTTTCTGAATAGCTAGTTTTCTAGCAAAGTCTTTTAATCCTGTCTGCAATTCAAGTGTGGGGAGAGGTTTGGGTGCAAAATTGAAACTTTTTTCTGAATGTTGCATTTCATCATTGGATAATTGGCGGCTGGGAAGGTTAAAAATAACTTATTTTTTACAACGTAGGTGAAGGGTGGTAGGTGTATTCACTTGAAGATATGAATGTGTAATTTTTGTGTCTTTTCAGTCTTTCCATTTTCTTAGAATGTGTGTTAGCTACTCTTTTTTCGTAGTTGATAACATGATTATTAAAAATCCGGAATACTACTTCACAATCTTCATTAATCAAATTTATTTTTAAACTTTGACGTTGTTGGAGTTTTGTTTAACTTTGATAACAGTCTGTAGTTTTCGCGGATATGTTCACGGAGGAGTTTGTACTGTATTATTCTTATTATTTTGGCAGATTGGAAATTAAAAATTGTTAATTTATATTGTAGAAAATTAGGAAGAATGTGATGATCACGACACTTTTGCAGAAAGATAATATCTAACGT